CCCGCACGCTGACTTTGCCAAGATGCTGGGTAGATGCGAAAATGGAGTTGGAGTCGGGCCGTCGGGCATGACATTTGAGCACCTGCGCGACGCGGCAATCACAAATGCACTGGTCAGCACCCACTTGCACGCCTTAGTAAACACCATCCTGGGAGGAAACTTGCCAGCTTCGGTGGCAAACCTCCTCACCGCATCTCGACTCATCGCCTTGGCCAAACCTGGGGGAGGGACTCGGCCAATAGCGATAGGCGAATGCTTGACGAGGCTGGCTGCCAAGGCGGCCCTGTCAGCAATGGGAGAAGCTGCCCGCGACTTCTTCTTGCCTCTACAGTACGGCGTGGCAGTGCCAGGTGGAGCCGAAGCAGTAATCCACGCGGCCAGAGCCTACCTGGACGTTCACCCCACCAGTATGGTACTGCAAGCGGACATTGCGAACGCCTTCAACAGCGTTTCGCGACATGCCATCGCCACAGCGTTACAAGACCCCGCCCTCTCGCCACTACTGCCGTTCGTGAAACTAACCTACGGTAACCCATCGCAGCTGCTTTTAGACGTCAAGTTCAACTCCGAACCCCTGCGAAGTGAACGCGGAGTTCGCCAGGGAGATCCATTGGGTCCGTTACTGTTCGCGGCTGGGATTCACGCCACACTCCGCGACACCGCCACCACACACCCAGACGTGCTTTGTCTGGCCTACGCAGATGATGTCACGCTCCTTGGGAACACGGCTGACACTGTAGCAGCATTCAACCACTTCACTTCCAACTTGACACAATTGGGGCTGGCACACAACCCATGTAAATGTGCAGCCTGGAGCAGAACAGCAGCAGAGGTTGATCAACTCCCGCCGGGAGTTCCTTTTTCCCAGGACGGCGTGCAGCTGCTGGGGAGTTTCGTAGGCCCCGACCGTGGGGCAGCGCAGTTCCTGTCGGGACAGCTGCGGGAGATGGCAAAACCATTACCACTCCTGGAGAAAGCCGATCCCCAGGTCGCGTCACTGCTGCTCACCCACTGTATCTCGAGGCGGGTGGCATATCTCACCAGGACGACGCCGCTACGATTACTTCCGCGCGATACCAGGAGCCAGTGGGGGATGGATTTGCTTACGACGCTACTGACCGCCTGCGGCATCCGCGTTCCAACCCACCGCGCTGAGCAATCTCGCGTTTGGGCGCAAGCCTCCCTGCCGCCGTCGCTAGGGGGAATCGGCATTACAGACCCCTTAATCGAAGGGGTGTACGGCTACACCGCGAGCTTCACTCAGGCCGCCCTTTTTCTGGCATCACTGGAGTGTGCCCCTCGCGGCGCGCTGACGCGGGCCCGGGATCACATGCTGCTGCCTGCAGACGCCACCACTCCCCTTCACGAGTGGCTCACTGAGTGCGAAGCCGCGTTACCTCTGGATGCACGAGAAATCCTGGAGAAGGAGCGGCTGAAGCGGTCGGATGTGAGACTACAACATGCACTAGCCTTACAGGTGCACGGGAGCAGATACGCCGTGCAGGTTCAGGAGACACGGCATATGGAGCTGAACCCCCTGAGCGGACACACGCAGCGGATGTTTTCGCTGACCGGTTACGGGACCGGGGACTGGTTGACAGCCATCCCCATTGCGGCAAACAGGAGAATAGGGCCCGTTCACTTCTCCAATGCCGTGCGCTTCCGGCTGGGCCTTCCTTTCTCCACGCCTAAAAACTGCGACTGTTCTGACCATACCGCTATCCCAGACCCCCGCCTCCCTAACCACCTTCTCCGTTGCGGCACGGGCAAGCACCGCATCAACACCCACAACGAGCTGCCGGATGCTTGCATTAGCATGGCCCAAGACGCAGGGTTCATCGTCCATAGTGAGACCTCCGCATACTGCCCCATTGAGGAACAGACCGCGGACTTTACGATGACAGACAGAAGCAGCGGCGCTGTCTACGTGTGCGACGTCACCATCACAGACCCCATTAGCACTAGGGACCCGGAGGCACAGAAGGGCAGGGGCTGGGCGGCACGGGAGCAGGCTGACAAGAAGATCAAGCACTATGCTGCCCGGCCAGAGACAGTGAACTTCTTTCCTCTAGCGGTGGATACCTACGGCTGCCCCTGTGCTGAGGTGCCAGTTTTCCTGAGGCTATTGGCGGACACTGCAGCTCGGCGCCACTTCAACGCCGACTCCAAGTCATTCTACGCTGCTAAGTTCCTGCATCAGTTCAGGCAACGCTGGTCTGTGGCCCTACAAAGGGCCCAGTCCGTAGGTCTCCTGCTCAAACTAGGGGAAGCAGCGGCAGTGGAGAACCCGCCTGTGGGGGGGATCGGGGATGAGTTACACCTAGGGGACTGCTTTGCAGTCATTGAGCCCTTTGTGGAATTGTAGGGAGGTCTGGTGACTCCTGGTGCCTTGCTCAGTTGTTACCTATGACTTGCATGCTTGTACTCTGCTGCTATATCAATACAAGGACCATTAGAGAGAGAGAGAGAGGCACCTGTTTGCTTGTTATGTTTGGTACCTGTTTGCTTGCATGCCTAGACAAACAGACTAGCTATCAACTCCTGCCATGCCTGTACCTTCTGCACCATTATCAATACAGGACTGCTTGAGAGAGAGAGAGAGAGAGGCACTAGGAGCCATTCCTTAGCCTCTCAGCCTCTCTTAGCCTCTCTTAGGACCTCCTAGCTAGTATATAAGGCCTAGAGGCCCTTGATTGTGTTCATTCTCTTCCGTCGCTCGCCATCGCGGCCTGCGGCCGTGAAAGAGGGGCGGCAAGAACATAGGGAGGGTGCTTCACACTAGAAAGAAGGAGATGCAACATGGAGCACTAGCTACGACAACTCAACAACACACCCCCCTGGCGTGCAAAGTCCGCCATGAGGAAGCCCAAGGCAATGCCATCCCCCGAGGCGGCGTGCAAGGGAAAGGCGCGTGCTACTCAGCGAGGATCCAGCACAGACTGTTGAGATACTAGCACAAGTGGTAGTTAGGTTTAGGGCCTAGGCTTAGTAGCCTAGGCCAAAGGGGAGTCGAGTTAGTTTGTGCCAAGTAGGGAGAGTCGAGAAATGTGTGTTTCACTATGGAGAGGGTCACAACATATAGGGCAGGAAAGGGGGGTACACCACCAAGCATGATATCAAGATAACTACACTTACGCTAGACCTACATGCAGTTATAACAATATAATTCTGACATCCCCCCGTAACTGCATGCAGGAATAGCCAAGTGCAAGACACCACTTGCAGGGGTACATCACAGACAAAGAAAATAGCAACAGCATGCAAGAGCAGATGCAAGTTCATAAAATAAAGACAAGTGGCAGCACTAGAGGGGCAGTGAGGAGGAGGAGTTGGGAGGCGGCAGGTGAGGCTGCTGGCTTCACGGCGGCTGCCTCCTGGAACCTCCCCCATGCTCCCAAACCCCCTCTGCACACTCCTCAACGTCCCTAGTGCCACTCCCCCGGCCCCCCACACCCTCACACCCTCCCCCCCCCCCCGCGGCATCTGCAGCCGTGGGAGAGAAAGGAGGAGGAGGGGAAGGGGATCACACACACCCATCACCCCCATACCCGCCACCTCCATACCCTCCCCCCCACGGCTGCACGCGCAGCAGGAAGACGAAGGAGGAGGGGGGGGGGGGGGGGGGGGGGGATGGCGGGGAAGAAGCCGCCCCACGGCCACAGAGGGGCGGCGCGCAGGGAAGGGCAGGGGCGGCTGCACCGAGGGCAGGCGCGTGAAGGACAGGGGCGGCTGCACCGAGGGCAGGCGCTGGTAGGGCAGGGGCGGCTGCACCGAGTGCAGGCGCATGTGAGGCAGGGGCGGCTGCTCCGAGGGCAGGGGCGGCTGCTCCGAGGGCAGGCGCGGGTGAGGCAGGGGCGGCTGCACCGAGGGCAGGCGCGGGTAGGGCAGGGGCGGCTGCACTAAGTGCAGGCGCATGTGAGGCAGGGGCGGCTGCTCCGAGGGCAGGCGCGGGTGAGGCAGGGGCGGCTGCTCCGAGGGCAGACGCGGGTGAGTCAGGGGCGGCTGCTCGAAGGCAGGCACGAGGTGAGGCAGAGGCGTTGTCGCGGGCGCCAGGGGCGGGTCCGCAGCGGCTCAGGGCACCGTCGCGGGCGCCAGAGGCGGGTCCGCAGCGGCTCAGGTCACCGTCGCGGGCGCCAGGGGCGGGTCCGCGGCGGCTCAGGGCACCGTCGCGGGCGCCAGGGGCGGTTCCGCGGCGGCTCAGGGCACTGTCGCGGGCGCCAGGGGCGGGTCCGCGGCGGCTCAGGGCACCGTCGCGGGCGCCAGGGGCGGATCCGCGGCAGCTCAGGGCACCGTCGCGGGCGCCAGGGGCGGGTCCGCGGCGGCTCAGGGCGCCGTCGCGGGCGCCAAGGGCGGGTCCGCGACGGGCAGAAAAAACGTCACGCGCCACCCGGGCGTGGGACAGAACGAAAATCGCCACGCGCCCGAGGCGCGCGACCGGAAAAACAGCGGTGGAAGCGTGAGGCTGGCCCACAGGCCAGGACTTAACAGACTCTAATACCATGTTGAGATACTAGCACAAGTGGTAGTTAGGTTTAGGGCCTAGGCTTAGTAGCCTAGGCCAAAGGGGAGACGAGTTAGTTTGTGCCAAGTAGGGAGAGTCGAGAAATGTGTGTTTCACTATGGAGAGGGTCACAACATATAGGGCAGGAAAGGGGGGTACACCACCAAGCATGATATCAAGATAACTACACTAACGCTAGACCTACATGCAGTTATAACAACATAATTCTGACACAGACTCCCGTCCATCCAGCGTAGGACGGATGCGGCCGATGCAACAAGATCAAGGGGTGCCTCCCGAGCCAAATCAGCAAGCCGCACCAGAGCTCCAGGGCCAGGTCCGAGTGCAGCCCCAGGGGAACTTGGAACCAGACCAATCAGCGGGAGGTAATGCAGTATCTCTGTCACTGCCGACACTGCCGCTGGCTGCTCTGACGGCAACATCCCCCCAATCTCGACACCTTGCCGCGCCAAGCACACATGCAGCTGGTCGAGGACGTATGACAGGAGCGTCAGGCAAGTCCCAACGTGCATCACGCGCTACTCGACACGAAGAAGCCGCTCGACAGGAGGACACTCACCCCACAGACTCCAGCGCGCCTCAGGAGCCACAGCTCGGGGATTCAGCAGGGCGGGAGGCGTCATCTGCTCCCAAGGAATCAACGCTTGGCGGAAGCCACAGAGGCGACGGGGGTTTGGACTCGCAGCGGGACCAGCCGGAGAGGTTGGGGCGCGTGGAGGAGGTGACGGAGGAACAGGAGACGTCGTGGGGCGAGGCGGCTGCGGCTGTAGAGGCAAGGGAAAACGGCACACAGGTGACCGAGTCGGAGGCTGCTGCGGTGGCTGAGGCTGCGGGTACTGCGGTGCCAGAGGTAGTGGCTGCTGCTGCGACGGTGGTGGCTCCAGCGTCTGTTGGCGGGCCTGACGCTGCCTCTGTCGGCGGTGGCGCCGGCTGTGCTGGCTGCGGCAGTGACGGCGGCGGCAGGGGAACATGACGGAGTCCGGGACGAGGAGGATAGGCCGAATGCCGCTGCGAGCCCCGGAACGACTGCTGCTGCCAAGGGCGCAGACACGCTGGGGCGCGACCAAGGGGGGAGCGATAGACGGGGTCACGGCCCCGGTGGGGCTGCCTGCGCCGCTCGCGGAAAGGCTGGGAAGAAGTTTCGATCCCAGCCAGCACCGAGGCGGCCCAGAGAAGGGCTGGGACCTGGTCCCTCGGGACCCCTCCTGGGCTGGCTTCTGCAAGGGCAGTTGCCACAAGTGCAAGAGCGTCAATTGCCATCTGTGGGGACGAGCGGTAGGGGCATGGAGGCAGACAATACCATTAGGCAAGCAACCACTGCAAACAACAACATGGCAGCAGTTGCAGCAGCAGGAACATGAACGCAACAAATACCCTGCCGCGAAACGCGGAGCTCGACACGCGTTCAGGGGATTACCTGGGGCCAGCCGCGAGTTCAACAGACAGGCCTGGTCAACACGCCGTGGATCCCGGCAGGCCGAGCTCCACAAGACGGGCGAGGCGGACAAAACACTGAGGATTTGGGTAGGGGAGACGCAATGGCAGGCGCAGGGAGAGGCGGAGCTGGTGGGGCAAGAGGCGGACGGAGAGGAGGAGGTGCAATCGTTGGTGGAAGAGAGGCGCTCCTGCGATCGGGAACGTGGCGGGAACGCCACGATCGCCCTGAACAGGTGGCAGATCCTATGACTCAGAATGAAGCACATGCTGGAAGAAGTGAGGACGGGGATGATTATGTAGCTTCGGCCTCAATGCCCTCGGAAGAAATCTCGCTATAAGAGGAAGGAGAGGGGACAACGAGAGGGGAACGAGGACGACGGGAAGAGAGGAGAAACCCTTGGGAGGAGAGAGAGAATGAGGACGCAGCAAACAAGGGACAGGGTGACTCAGGGGCCAGATCACCGTCTGACCTGGCGGACGATTCTGCCATCTGGGAGCTGGCAGCCACGTGGGACAAATATCCACTCCAAAAAGGGGAGCAACCCTTCGTGGTACGCAGAATGCCACCCAAGATCCTGGAAAGCTACACGCTCTGTCTTCTGGCGCCACTCATTCGACTCTAAACAAATCCAGATTGTCCAGGGGCGTGGGCGATCCTACAGTATCTTCCTAGGCTGACGCTGCGTCCGGCACCCAAACCTGTTGAGGGCAGTCGGTGGACAGCAATAGAGCTGCGCCTGCACCAGTTCCAACTCGGCATCTGGCAGCCCCTCTACACAGACACATGTGTCATCCCCGACAATGAGAGACTGATATGACACCAGCCGGATGATACAGGTTTATGTGCAAGGGCGGAGGGGTTGATACGAAAGGGAAATATATCCAAGGCGGTTGCAGCGTTACGAACTACACCGCTCGCAGAAGCCACGGCAGTGATGTTGACTGCCCTCCAAGCGAAACACCCCGCAGCAGACACATCGCTACCAGGCCTGGTTACCGGGTACAACCGCTCGACCCTTAGCGTGTCTGCGGAAGAGCTTTGCGAAATTCTCGCGAAATGTCCAAACAGGGTGGGAGCAGGCCCATCTGGCACCTGTTTCGAACACCTCAAGGATCCGGCTCTGGCAAACGGGGAGGTGCTTATTTTGCTCGCTAAGGTAGTGACTTACCTGCTTGGCACGTTCCAAACATAAGCGACACGCGACCTGCTGCTGCCTTCACGGTTAATCGCCCTAGAAAAGCCAGAGGGAGGAGGCTGTCCTATAGCGATAGGGTAAGCTATACTTCGTGTCGTGGCTAAGGCAGCGCTGCAGGGTTAACGGATAACATCAAGGAATTTTTCTTACCAGTACAGTTTGGAGTGGCGATACCAGGAGGCGCACAATGTATCATCCACTCCGTCAGATCGCTACTAAGAGACGATGACACACGTGTAGCGCTACAGCTGGACATAGAAAATGCCTTCAACAGTGTCGAATGGGAGGCCTTCTTCAACGCTCTCTCCCAATCCAGTTTGCTCCAGCTCATGCCACTGGTCAGAACACTCTACAGGGCACCATCGCCTCTCTTGGTGGACGAGCGTTTAGGGGTGAACCATATCCTCTCGTCACGCGGAGTGCGGCAAGGGGACCCGTTGGGCCCACTACTCTTCGCAGCCACGATTCAACCGTGCCTACTAAGCATGGCAACCTTCTTACTGGAAGTCGCGATAGTAGCATACGCCGACGACATTACGATAGTGGGGCCGAAAGAAGCTTGCTACGAGGCCTTCGGGGCCATAACAAGGAAGCTTGCAACGCTCGGCCTCCGTTGCAACATCGTCAAATCGTCGGCATGGGGACAAACACTCGCGGACGACAGTGGTACGGCACCTCCACTCAGCCTACAGCAGAGCGCAAACGGGATTCGGGTTCTAGGCAGCCCAATGGGCTTGCCTGCCTTCTGCACCGCCCAAGCACAAATGAGGCTGGATGAGGCGTCGGCCCCACTGCCATTGGTGGCACAACTCCACCCGCAGAGCGCAATGCTCATCCTCTCGAGGAGCATATCCCGGCGGATCTCCGACTTGCTGCGGACGACACCGTCAGAAGTCCTGGAGAGAAAGGGTTGGAGGAGCTGGAGTGAGTCACTGATGGCGGCAACACTAGCAGCGGCGAAGCTACGGGTACCTACAAACGAGCTGGAGAGGAGTCTGTTGTGGTGCCAAGGGACTCTCCCAGTCAGGTTGGGAGGACTGGGGATCATTGACCCCGTCTCAGATGCACCTGCTGCCTACATCGCTTCGGTCACGGCAGCGCAGCAGCTACTACGGCAGATGAACCTACCCGAGGCCTACCTTTTGAGCAAGGCGGTCGAGCCGATGAACCATGAATGGACCCCTGACCCACCCGGTATCAACCCCCTGACAACACTGGAAGCTGGGCTGCCCATAGCCGCGAAGGCAGCACTACACACCTACAGGGAGCAACCGGCAGGGTAGGGAAACTTCCAACTGGCCCTGTCTCGCCACAATAGCGGACCGCGCCAGGAAGGACCGTGGGCACGCAATAAGGCTCATCAGTTTGCAAGGGGTGGGAGCATGGGAGTGGCTCCATGCCATCCCAACGAGATCTGACCTTACATTTGCCCCTGGCCAGTTCTCGTTGGCACTCGGCTTCCGCCTCAGCATGTCCCTTCCAGTCACAGTTACCTGCCCGTGCAAGCGTGCCAACACAGAAATTACAGACACGAGCCTAGCGAACCACCTCTTGCGGTGTGGGTACGGGGGAGATGTCATCCGCACAAACAATGCTCTGGTGTACGCTCTGCTCCGGATGGCAAAGGAGGCCGACTTCACTGATTTCCGCAAAACCACAGCCTTCTCCCCACCGGTGATTAGGAAGAGGGGGATCTTGCCATTCGAGACAAGGAGTCAAATGAGACATGGGTCATGGACGTGACGGTGACTGACCCAGTGCTGCAGTGCCACGACAAACGTGCTCGGAAGCCTCTTGAATGGGCGGCAAGAGAAGCCTCGGAGAGGAAACACAGGATTTATGAGGGGCGGCCTGATTACATGGGTTTTTTCGGGTTGGCAGTGGAGATGTACGGTGCCCTAGTTACGGATTCGCAAAAGTTTATGCGCTTGCTAGCAACCTCGGCGGCAAAAAGGAGGTTCCGCCAGGGGAAGCTCACCACCACCATTCCACGGCTCACCGCTCACTACAGGCAGTGCTTCAGTGTCATGCTCCAGCGTTCACAGGCGACGTCATTCCTGAACAATTCGAACATAGGTGACGTGGCAGCCTTCTCATAGACGGGTAGGGACCCTTGGGAACCTAGCCTAGGGGACCTCTGGCAGGTCCTCGAGGACGAGATGGACAGGGTGATGGGCCAGTAAGCAGGATAGGTGTTTAGCTGAGTGGTAGCCACATGCATTGCCGGCCCTGCCTTGTCTTGTTTGCCTTGCCTTTCTTGCCTTGCTCGATGTGGCCTTGCCTTGTCTGCCTGCCTTGCCTCGTGTGCCCTGCCTTGCCTCCCCGGCCCCCAAGGTCCTACCCTGCTGGCCTCCATCTGGCTACTTGGCGTGCCTGCCTTGGCCCTGCCCTGCATAACCGGTTGCTCATAGGACTAGGCCTGTTCTGCACTTGTTCTTGCCATGCCTGTACCTCTATGAACCTATCAATGAAGAACTGCTTGAGAGATGGCAAAGGAGTAGTCCTTAGCCGTTATTCAGTTCTGTGTTCATTTGCTCTCCTAACCGAGCGGCAGAGAGCAAGAGAGAGAGAGAGAGAGAGAGAGAGAGAGAGAGAGAGAGAGAGAGAGAGAGAGAGAGAGAGAGAGAGAGAGAGAGGAATAGCCTCCGCCCTCTGCCCTTAGCCTCTGCCCTCGGTTGCCTAGATAATTAAGGGCCCGTCTCACCCTCCCTTTCCTCATTATTCAGTTGGCGGCTGAAATTTTCAGCTCGCGCCGGCCGCCAGCGCGGCCTTCGGCCGCGAGTGAGGGGACGGCAAGTCATACGACACACAGTTGCTTATATTACAAAGCATTACACGCATGGCATGTCCTACGGCAATCTAGCTGAAGGAAAGTAAGCATGGGGCAAACGGAGCCCGCGTCTACATGCGGTGAGCTCCAAGGGCGTGAAGAACGCCCGTCAGGGAGCGCCACAGCTCCCGGACCACAAGCGTGCTTGCGCCGATCGCCGCGGCTCCAGATCCTGCGCGCAAGTGCCGCCTCAAGCCCCGGACGGCTTCGTCAAGCTGTCCCGCAGCAGCAGCGCCACCCTCCACGGGCGCAGCCAGCACGGGCGCCAGCAGCACCGCGAGCTGGTCCGCCGCGTCCAGGCACGAGTCACGCTGGCGACCACGGAAGGTCTCAGGAGGGATCACAGGGAGAGACGAGTGGGCCAGCACCTGAATCAGCAGCAGAGCGTGGAGACTGTCAGCGAGGCGGTGTAGCTGTCCGAGAGTCGCCTCGGGAACACGGGTCTGCGGAGGCTGGAGTGCCTCCGCCAGGAACTGGAGCGGCTCATCAGCATCAGCAGGGAGAGCGAACGGAGCCGCCAACGAGCCGCCACCTGCGGCCACAAATTCCACTCCCGCAACAGGCAGAACTGGCGGCAGATGGAGACGAGAGCCGGGAGCAGGCGCCGATACAGCGGGAGAAGGAGCTGGCAGCGCTAGGATCCGGGGGGGAGGCGCAGCAACAGGCTGCGGGTTTGGGGGGAGCGCAGCCGGACAGGGAGCCTCGCGGGCTGGCAAGGCGCGCAGCGAACTGCTCTGGCTCTGCGCCGCCCTCTCCTCCCGAACCGCCCTCGACACTTCCCGCTGAAGATCCGCCATCGTCACGGGCGGGCGATACCCCCCACCCCCGCCACGAGCACAGGGACCCCTCCAATCCCTTTGACCCCCGGGGTGAGCAGGCCAGCGCGACTGTTGCTGGTACCGCCGTGGAGACTCACGCCGGCGACGAGATGATTTGCAATCCTGGTGGGGAGCGGGGGAATGGGGCCGCGACGAGCGACGGTCAGGCGACGGAGGGCGTGACGGCTGGCCTGCAGGAACCACCGCCGTCACAGCGGGAGCGGACTGACCCGCCGCCGCAGGCGCAACCAACGGAGCCGGTTCGCCAGTGGTGGCGGACGCCGCCTTTGGTGACGAAGCAGAGGCCTGCGCAGGCAGGCAGGGGGCAGAAGCGTTCGGCGCAACACGGGCGACAGGGACAGGTGCAGGGGGTTCAGCAACACCCCCAGCAGGGGCAGACGCCGA